TCCAAAAATTGCACTACATCTATAATAAAAAAATTAGATCGATGTAATAATATAATTAAAATAAATGTAAAAGTAAGAAAGCAAAAAGTAATAAATATAATTATAATATATACATATATATTTTATAAAAATATTTATATATTTTATAAAAAAAAGAACGAATAGTACTGTAATTTACCTCGAAGTATAGCAGTGAGCTCGGCATTAAGTCCCATCGTAACTTGTTTTCTGTTCAATTTATTAATTTTTCGAATATTATTAGTATACTTATAAAGTATAGTTATTCGTTTAGCAATAGTTTTGAACCGAATTTAACGACATAATGCAACAGACTCTCCTACTGAAATTTACCCGGAAATGTGATTAAAGGAGATAGTGTAAAGAAATGAGAATGAAAATGTGCGAGAAGTCTACGTCACATCTAATTGATTTTATTTTCATTAACAATATTCAAGCTTAAAATCTTGCAAGTTTAAAATCAATTTGATTCGAAGCGAATTCAATGAACACCTCCCTTTTCCTTTTAAGCGATCCGTGACGTCTTTTCTCTCGTCATTGAACAAGTCGATATTGTTCAATGACGTTTCTAATGACGATTTTATCTGATATTCGAATGGAATATAAATAATTAATAAATTTCGTCGATTCACGATTATCGTACGATGAATCCAATTAATCGAATGCATATCTCACCTGTAAAATATTTGCAGTATATTCTTGTATTTCAAGTTGTTCCAAACTGTATCGCATCGATAAACAAACAATATAGCATATTTAATTTTACTTCATTTCTCGCGACAAACATTGCGGCGCATTATTTTCGAAAGTTTTCTCTTCACTTGTTATTTTAAACAATTACTTTTTTTTCTTAAAAGAAATATTTTTAAAAAATATCTTTCTAACAGAAATTATACAATTGTTTCTTAATATTTAACTCGTTAAAATTCAACGAGCTGAACTGCACGTGGGAGCGACTGAAGGCGGCTCCCGCAAAGACTGTCTCGCTGTCGCTAGTCACTGGAATCTGTCTTTACTTCTCTCTCTCTCCTCTCTCTCCTCTCTCTCTCTCTTTCTTTCTTTTTCTCTCTCTTTTAGTCCCCTCCTTCCTTTATTACTTTAGTACTGTCTTATACTACAACAATGTTCCTATGAATCATTGACTCACTCTCCTCAATCGTTCTTTTTTGCTTTAATAATCTTTTGTCTTCGTCGCAGTCGTAATATCTTCTTACTCTTCCTTCAGACTCTCTCCTTTTCTCGATCGCAACGCAGCGCGATATGATTTAATTGATCATTCCAATTGTCGGAGCAAGAAAACGAGCAAGAAACAAACATAGCCATTCGCATAACACAGACTCTACAGTCGTATTTCTATCTTTATTTATGAATTTCATAAATTTTTTTTTTATTCAATATCTAATTTAACGTTTGGGTTTGTCCGATCGTATCTTTGATATATTTTCAAATATCAAAGATATTTAATAAAATATATAATGTTTCGATTAAATACTAGTTTATTTTAATTAAGTATTCAATCATTAAAAAGATATCAAAAACACCTAAACTCAAAAATTCAAAAAATTACAATTGGCATTCGATATAAAGAGATTGAATATCTACATATACAAATATTTAAAACAATATATAAACGAAAGATTTAGTTCTAGTTTTCTCAATAAGTTTACCAATTCTCCCAAGGTGCTTTACCACGTACTTTTTCCAATGGTTTTGAGTAAAGATATTTTCCAACGTCTGTTATGTCTGGTGCTGGATCGTTTTTAGCTATTTCTAATTCTTCGTCTACGATTTTATATGTATTTTTTGTAATTTCCTAGAAAGGATTGAAATTAAAAATACAGATAGATTTGAGAGTAAAGCTTCTTCGCGAGTTTTTTTTTTTTTTTTTTTATTGAGAGTGAAAGTTAGAAAGTTTCGGAGATATTCAACGTATGTCTAAGATATTGTTAAAAATATTCTCAAAATGTATTCATAAGAAAAACAATGAAGATTAAGAGAAAAGGTAAAAATGGAAGAAATGTTTTAGAAGAGAAGAGAGAGGAAATAATGCTCAATTTTACTTCAATTTCTGCTTGAGTTTTCAGACCATTATCAATTATCTGTTTGGTCAACCAATTAATAGGATCTTGTTTAGTTTGTACCAATTTCACTTCTTCTCTGGTACGATAAGAGGTACCAGGATCGCTCATACTATGTCCATAGTATCGATATGTGACCATTTCGAGAATAATAGGACCTTTTCGTAGAGCGTAATCTTTCGCGAATTTCGCAGCTTCGTGAACATCTAATACTTTCATTCCATCTACCTGAAATAAAAAATAAATGAAGAGAAAAGAAAAAAGAAGATTTATTCAATTGTTACAAGTGATCTCGATGTAAGAATTTTTTTTCCTCTTTTTTATTGTCTCACCTGTATACCTGGAATCAGATCCCCTCGCGTGTAATAATCAGGATTCGCCGAATGCCTATATGTTGCCGTTCCCATACTGTATTTATTATTCTCGCATACATATACCACCGGAAGACTCCACAATTTTGCCAAATTATATGCTTCGAAGGTTTGACCCTGATCCGCAGCACCATCTCCATAGATTACCCAAGCAATACCGCCTGTACTATTATATTTTTGAGCAAATGCTAATCCAGTACCGATCGGTAGCTATCACAATCAAAAAACCAATATATTTTGAATTATAAATGATAACTATTCGCCTTAAATTAAAATCACTTAGCTAGTATTTTTTATTTTTTTTTTCAAGATATATTAAAATAATTTAGAATCTATTTGTCTTTTAACTTTCAAATAAATCTTATTACATAGAACCAGATCTAATTTATCTCTCCTAACGATCTCGCAAAGAAAATGAAAAAAATTTTATGTTATATTTTTCAAAATATTAAATAGAAAATTTTAATTAAAGAGTCAGAAAGTATTATAGTAATTCGAGTTTTAAAAAGAATTTGTATAAAAAAAAAATTATTGTTATTCATATTTTTTATTAATACAATCTCTCTGCATTTTGAAATTTATTTTTAATTTGATGTTTTTATAAACTTATTATAACGTTTAGTATAATTATTTTATAATGAATATCATCAATAATATAGGCATCGATCATAATTATGATGTGTTGATTTTCTAATTTTTAAGGGAGATAGAGAAAGAGAAAAAAAGATTCGATTCGAGCTATTTTATACCTGACCACCAACAATTCCTTCGCCTCCATAAAATTTATCTCCGTATATATGCATGGAACCACCTTTTCCTTTTGAAGTTCCAGTTTTTCGACCCATTAATTCCGCAAAAATATCTCGTGCTGATATGCCAAATATCACTGCAAAACCATGACACCGATAAGACGTGATCAAAGTATCCTTATCCGATATCACCGACTTCATACCAGTGGCTATTGCTTCCTACAAATACATTTTTTTTTCCTTCTTTCTTTTTTATTCTCTTTTTTATGTCTCATTCTTATTGTTAGATTTTTTTCTGTTTCTATCGTATTTATGACGATAGAAACAGAAAATTATTATCCGATTAATTCGATTAATCATAAAATTTACCTGACCAATATATAAATGAAGGAAACCATAGATGAAACGCAATCTGTACATTTCTGCCGCTTTGCTTTCTATTCGTCTGATATAGTGCATCGCTTTCAATGCGGAAAGAATGTCATCTTCGTTCATCGTGGCTTTGTCCGGTGGTCCTTTATCCAAACGATACAATTTAAATGCCTAAGTGATATAAGAAAAATTAAAGTTTTTTAATATATAATTTTTAATCTTAAATCTTTGTAGTTAACATAGGTTGTTAAAGTAGGAAATTCCATTTTTAAATTTCTTTGAAACGAGTTTTTATTTTTTTTTATTGAAAAAATGTTTTAAATATTTTTACGTAACGATAATTTATTCTCATTTAATGACTTTTATATATAGTTCAGAATTTTTTTAAAATTTTTACGAAGCTTAGAAAAATAAAATCAGGTTTGAAAATAAAATTCCAAAATTATTTACCGCATTTAAAAAATAGATTGTCCATATAGAATTAAAATAAGAAGAATTAATAAGTTTTTATGTAATTCTTTTTTAATTATTTATGGATATAGAGATATAGAGATATAGAACTTATTCAGATAATATTATTATTATAAATATAATATAAAGCAGAATGCATATTTATATTTTACCGCATCTACTGTTAGTGTTTTGGTTTGTCCTTTATGAAGAAAGAAAGGATGTCGTCCATGTAATAAAGTTGGAAGTAATTTTAATAAATACATTTTAAACTTATTTCAAAATTATCCTATTTGTCGTTGATTATCATTTCTCAAGTTCAACATCGATAATTTCCTATCTTCATACAATTCAAACAATTTGAACATTTGAACATCAAAATTAAAATTATTATATGATCATAAATATCGTTTTTTGATCGAAGATTCTTATTTTAATTTAATTTTTTTTTATAGATAAGATCTTTTTTATTATTCAGTCTCAGCAGCATTCATTCGATTCTATAAAAATTTTTCCGTTTTTCAATTCTCCTTCATTCTTTATTGAAGATAAATTTAATAGAATAAAATTTTCCTTAATTTTTTATGTCTATTAAATATATAATATAAATAAAAAAAATCTGATCATAAATATATTTGTCTTAATAATTGAGATGTAAATATATTTTCAAAAATTATTTATTTTTCCAAAAATTCCTTTCTTTCCTTTCTTTTTTTATACATAATTTTCTCTATCTATTTGGGAACTTCGTAATTTTATTTTTGACTCTCTAATTCTGCTTAGACTTTGATTTACAAAATACATATCGAGATAGTTTTGTTAGCTTCTATTTGAAAAAAATTAAATTTCTTAAATATATAAATAAATAGTAATTAAAAAAAAAATCCAGAAAATAAGAAGAATGAAGTAAACATTTACAAATTTCTTTTTAGAATAAACTCAAATTATATATATATATAACATACAATATAGATTGTTTATTTTATTTTATTATCTTTCATTACAATTTTTTTCAAATATTACTTTTTTGTGCAATATTTTATTTTTAATTTTATTCTTTGAAATATTCTTGATTATTGATAAAATTTTGATTGTCCTAAATTATATCAACAAACGGATCGAACACATGAGATCCAATAGGATGTAAAAGGCGAGACGGTTTGCTCGATGTCCAATATCGATGACCCATTTTTGATCGTGTTTGCTTTTTCATTTCTTCACACTCCTCAATATTAATTGTATCCTCTAATGGAATAAGACGTACAGCTCTAGCAAGAATCGGTGATCTCAATATCGTACTCGATGGAGTGGTATGATTCCATTCTTGACTATATATATGCACACATATATTTTTAATATTTTAATTTTAAATCATAAAGATCATAATGATAGAAAATAAAGCATATTTCTAAAAAATATCAGTAGTCGATCAAGATAAAATTTTATTTGCATGATAAATTCGAAACATGAAATCTCAACAATTTTAGAAGATACAGATCCAAAATTTAAAATTAATAAAGTCATAATCGATGTATTACGAAAATAATATACATATCTAATATTATATAAATAAATATTACACAGATAATATAGATATCTAATTCAATTCGAAGTTAATTCTCATTTTTGATTTTTTTTTAAATTATTGGGATAAATTTATTATTGCAATAAACTTATTTATTTCTTCAATCATTATAATAATTGCCAATCGTGTATATTGTTATATTAATTGTGTATGTTATATTAATTTAATAATCAATTTAATAGTTAAGTCTAACTTTTATCGGCCAGATAAAATAAATTATTTATAAAAAAAATAAGGAAAGAATTTTATATAAAATATAATTAGTATATAGTTACCGTTGTAGAGATTCGATGCTAAGTAAATTGGTCAATATAGAAGAAGATTTATCGTGTTTCGGTATGTCATGTGAAGTAGATGCATTACTTTCAGATCGCGCCGAAAATATTTTACGTATCCCTTGTAATTCCTGTTTTTAATAAAAATTTCAAAAACATAATTTGGGATTAAATTAACTTGTTAATAATATTTATTTAATTATTTAATTATTTACCTTATGTCGGGATGAAGTAACGTATAAAGGTTTATGAGATACATTTCTTTTTTCTTTTCGCCATGCTTTAAAATTGAACTTGAAATTTTCAAATATGTAATATTAATTAAACAATATGAACAATGAAATTAAGTTATTATATCATACAAAAATAAACGATAAATACATAAAAACAAAAATAATATTTAAAAAAATTTAATAAATTTTTTCTCTAAGTCTAATAAAATAAACTTAAATTTATTAAAAAAATTTCAATTCTCGTTTTGGAAAAAAATACTGTTGAAAAAATCATTTAATAACATGTATTGTATTCATTCAACAACAGAAATTGTTTTTTTTTTCTTTTCTATACCTGACATTCATTTCCTTCGCTCCAATTGGAGCAATGTTTATGTCGTGGACAAATTTGATTTTCTTGTCCGGTTTTTGATAACGAGGAATACGTGTGCGCCATTATTCGTTCCATTTCCACCTTTAAAAAGGAAAAGTAGAAATATCTAACTATATTCAAATACAATTAAATTTATTATATACTATAAAATAGTATGTATTGTGAAAATTATAAATATTTATTCAATGAATAATTTTATTAAAAAAATATATATAAAAATAGAATTTCATAGTTGAAAATTAATAATTACTAACCTTGATACGTTTTGCACGTTTCCGTGTGCTTGATTGCGAGGTTTGTACTGCTCGGTTTAAGTTTATTTCTTGTTTCGATTGTTGTTGCACTTTCGAAATACCGAATAGATCTTTCGATTCTGCCACTTTGATCATGAACAGCGAGTCAAATTGCATCATTTCTTTTCGTTTTATTATCGCAAGAAAACATCCTGGATCTAGCATGTGGCTAACATTTTGTCCGTAAATGTCATCAATATTGCCTACTTCGAAGAGATCGGTATCTGGAATCTTATAATTATAACAATTTTCTTAATAAATTTAAACAGAATTGTAAATAAATTGCATATATTATTGTATCTTACAATAATATTTGAGATATCGAGATATTATCATTTTTTTGCAATTCTTTGTCCATTTTTGCCAATTTTGACATTTCTTTTTGAGCTTTTTTCTTTGATAAAAAATAAAAAAAAAATAAGATATAATTTTGAAGTTTGGTAAATTGCATAATATCAATTAACAAAAATAAAGATAATAAACTTACCGGATATTCACGAAAATATTTTTCCTTGGCCATCTGATTAACGCAGTCTACCACTTCCCGAACCATTTGCGTTGTTTCCGATGGTAAAATTGTGTGTACTTCGTATATAAGAAATTGTACATTAGGCCTAGTCAAAGCATACTTCAAAGTGGACATTTGATCGGATAAGAAACTATGCCACTGTTCCTGATTCTTGTAATATTTATTGTTATTATTGTCTTTATTATGAACATTGTGAATGTAATTATTGGTCAATGATTCAAGAAGATCTACATCTCCTCCTCGTGCTACTGCAAGATCGACGATATCTCGGACACCCGTATAAGTACACGTTGGAACTGCCAGCACTACAGTTGCTCTCTCTGATTCGATCGTCGAAAGATGAGACACATATCTAAATGTAATTCATTCATTTCTTAGAAATTTCATTTAATCAAAAATATTAAATCTATTAATCAATGTCTCTAATATTTATTGTCCTCCTTAGTGAAAATATTTTATTTAATCTTTTTTTTATTTTCCAAGATACATTGAAATAATTTATGTTCTATGCATCTTCTAACTTTTAAAATGAAAGGATTTAGAAATATTAAAACAGAAAATGTGTTATTAAAACAAAAATATTATTTCTAAAAAAATTGATTATGAAATAAAAAAAGCATTATTTTAAACTTTTTTTTTTTACTCTAGATATTTATCTCAAAACTAATCAAATATATATTTAAGTGAATAATTCACCTACGCTATTTTAATTTAATTTTTAAGAAATTTCTAATAGATAAATAGATGGATAGATTAGGTAGATAAATAGATAGATAGATAGATAAGTAAATAGATGGATAAGTAAAACCCCCATATCCGCAGTTTCAAGTATCTATAGGTTATAATTCAAAAAAATTAAATAAAAATCATCTAAATAGTAAAAATATGATATCACATTGTTTATATTATTTACTTCATTTCATCATATAAATTGTGCCAATACTCTACATTCATTGATTAATATAGTTTTATCGTTTTATCATTTTCAATATTTATATATCGTGCGTTATTCTTCATTATTCCTTATTTCATACACGTGTAATATGCATACATATATCGTTCTATATTATCCGTATCTTCAGCTATCCGCGGAAGAACTTTTGACACCCATTCCTGAGAATACATGGGTCTTACTATGAAATGAATAGATAGATACTTTTCGGAAAAAACGCGACATTGTTGCAATGTGACATCGAGATCTTTTAGGTAGCTTTCGTACTCGCAACGACGATCACCAGCTCCGAAGACCAAAAGTTTACCAGCGTATTCAATATCGGCCAATAGCCCGGCCAGATATCCGGTATGTCGAGGTGCTAGTGAATGAGTTAAAATCACCGGGCCATAGAATCTACAATTACGGATTACCTGTGCCAATGTTGCCGCACCCAAGCACAATGATCTCTCCTATTCGTTTGAATGAATCTTTGTTAATTTATATATAATCTTCCATTTTTTATATAATCTTGCTCATGTTCCTCAGCTACCTACTAAAAATATAAAACGATGATTACAAACGAGCTTGGAAACAGCCAGCATTTCCCGTTTGATCTCGTGCAAATAAATTATTTTCGGGCAAATAGGATCGAATGCAAACTCATTTTCTTCAAGTTCTATCGATTCTTTTTTTGTTTCACAATATTTTAACTTCAGTTCCGACATTTCTTTTAGAAATTCTTCCTTGTTGACAAATTTCATGGTGTTTATCCATCCAGAAGCGACAGTAGTTTGTACGCCCCAAGTGACACCTTCGATGTCGCGCAAATGACTCGGTAGCAATTCATCTTCCAGATTTTAAATATAATATCAGTAATAATATGTATGTATATATATATATATATTATTGTTTTAAAGCTAAATACTTTATTTCTATCAAATTTCTATATCGCGTCGAAGAAAAAATATTCACCAAGTTTGAGGGCAGAACCGCGAATACGTAGCCGCGAAATACTTGCGGCAAGATGGATTTTCATCCCCGAAAGAGCGTTGTCGATATCCGTCAATCCAGCAGCCTAACAAATACAATTTCAAGATGTTCGAATTTCCAAAACGCGAACCACGTACGCGCGCGCACAAGAGAAAATGAAAGAAAGTGAGAGAAAGAAAAGAATGCATTTATTTATAACTATTAATAAAAATGGGAAAAAATGAGAAAAAGAAAAAGAAAAAATAATATGTAATAATTAAATAAAAGAAAAGAAGAAAAAAAATATCATAAATTTTACCTTAAAAATATTTTCACGTTCTTCAAAAGTAGTGTTATTAAATCGTGGTTTTGAAAATTTTCTTCCTTGCATGTCATATAGTAGCAACCAAACGATCTTTTCTTCATTTTTGATCGCCCTGTTACGTTGCCAAAAACCTGCATCTTCCAAAGCTCGAATGAATATCTTTTTATCTAAATAAGATGAAAATTATAAATATAACAAAAATTCATAATCGATCTTAACACATGAATATTCATCGACTTACATCTAAAAACATCATAAACAAGCCCGAATACACGACGCATCTCAGCCTCATCTGAATATACTGGAGGTGGCTGAGCTTTTCGAAGAACCTTCGCCGCCAACAAAATATCGTTAAGGCGCCAACCTGGTTCGATGCACATTTCTATCATTGAACCATCGACGATCGTCGATGATTTTCCTTTCAATCCTTCCTGTTGGCTAGGCTTAGCCTTAAAACTATATCCGTATCTCTTTGGCTCCCATTCCCACTCATTTTTCTTACGTTTCACTTCTAACTTTGTTTCAGTTTCCAATCTAGTTTCGTTGACCCTTCGATTTCATTACTAGTTATAGATCATTCCTCTCGTTATTGTTATGAATTCATGATCGATGAAAAGATATAATCTTACTTACTTTTCCATTGTTTATTTTCGTTTATCGTCCAACAAATGAAACGTGCATATCGATGTTAAATACAAACCGATTAATTTGTTAATTACGTTTTAACTTTCATCACACGGAATAATCATGATCGTGACGAAATTATAATTACAGAAAAAAGAATTAATATGAGTGCATATTTTAAAATTAAATCGACAAAATATGAGAAAAGGTCAGTCAGTGTATTGGATAAATTCAAGTTGGAAAAAATAAAATAGCAACGTTCATATTGTTATCATGATGAAACGAAGCTTAAACGCATGAAATTATTAAAAAATTAATAAACAATTGCTAATTTATAATTAAAAACTTAATCGATGATTGATTAATTTGCATGCATCTTCGGTGAATTTTTCAGATTAAAAAATCATTCATTTAGAATTATATAAATAAATTATTACCTGTTTTCTATAAAAATGGTATCAGATTCTCTTTGTAATTCAACCAGTTGATAATAGACTTGATAACGCCAATCTTCATTGCTCGGTAAAATCAAATCTTCCAAGTTTTTATTTAATTCATTGTCATGAAGTTGACTATTGCTTCGTCTCCAATTTGCCAATAAGATGCGAAAGATTTTGGCGCATTCTTCAAACATTGTTCCTTGATAAATAGATATATTCAAGTTTGTTACAATTTTCAAATATCCAATTAAATATTCTTCTAGCTTCGTGTTATCATCTTATTATTCTTCATACTAAAGAAATCTCTCATTTTTATTGACGAAGTTTTTTAACGATATTAGAAAAAATTGAATTGAGAACTTTATATAAGTACAAAAAAAAAGCTATTATATTCAATTATTACCATTGATTGACAGTCATTTGAATTGAAATTCAATTCAATTTTAAATAGAAATGATAAATTCAGTAATTATATATATCAAATAAATCATGAAATATATAAAAAAATTAGATATAAATCATAAAATACAAATATTTAATTAAAATATTGTAAAAAATATATTTTTATAAATCTTAACATGAAATTATTGTGCATCATTTTGTAATTATTAATTATCATTAACAGTTTCGATTTATAATTTCGAATATCTTATATCAAAGATTATTTAAAACATTATTAAAACAACATTGCATTTATAATTCAATGACATCTATCATTAGTTAATTGTATGATAATTGATGATAGTCGATGATCAAATACATGACCATTTCCTTTTTAATTAATTAGATTAAGTTTGATAATAATTGATGATAGTGGTCGGTGGGTAATTCAAGAAATAATTTTCGAACAGAAATCGAAAAATATATAAAATAATATAATTCATTGAAAAATATTGAAGAATACACTAAAGTAACAATAATAATAATAGTAATATCATTTGACTTACCGAAAGATGTAAAAATATGAATTAAAAAAAGAATAGGAAACAGTAGTAGAATCACAGTACAGTGATAATGGTGGTATACACGTTGAATATCTCGGAAGAGAAAAGCAAAGTAGATTGCGAGCATAAGAACATACTGCAATGTCGCGTGTTTCGGTAATATTTTCCTCAATATCACGTCTATCAGTTTACGCGAATATAAATGGATATAAACGAAAATCACAATTCGCATAAGTCGATCACGATAAATTTTGCTTTCTTGGCAATTCTCAATTTGTTTCGTATCTCTTTCGTGCATCATTCAATTTACTTCTTACATTCTTTATATATATATATACTTATAATATATGTATATATATTTAACTCAATATAAACTGGAACATCGCATAATGTATCGCATAATATAAAACGATAAATATCAAAATGATGTATTTTTTCTACAAACGAACTTAAATCAATAAATCATTTGCAAATTCTTATATAGAATAGATAAATCAAATCATATATCATAAAAGAAATATTTTTATAAAAAAAAAACGAAGAAAAAAATAAAAGTATTAAGAAAGAAAAAAAGAAAATTTTTTTATATATATTATTATTATTCTAGTTTATATATATATATATATATATATATATAAAATGGTCTGGTAAAATTTAAAAAAAATACAATTTATATTATATAATATATATTACATAATACATATTATATCTCGATTGCTTTCATTTACATTACTAAAGAAGAAAAAGAAAATCATTTGATCATTCGAAGTCATTTCTTATTTCATAATTATAATTAATCATTTCTTGAGAATCATTTTTTTTCTATCTTATCTATTATCATTATCATTATTATTACTAATTTTATTATTATTATTATTATTATTATTATACTACTTATCATTATTCATAGTCTCTAATAAAAAATAGTAGGATATTGTCGTATTCATGATCTAAAAATATACAAAAAATAAATGTGAAAATGAAATTGTTTTCAAGTGAGTAATAATAGGATGGAAACAACGACAATTTAGCAGTTTACCTTGGCCAAAAGATCCATTGTAACTTGTACTAAACTACATGCCTTCAAAACAATTGGCCTCTGTGCTAATACTAACAAAAAGTATTTTGCAAAACTAGTATTCTTGTCATACCAGCAACTACAATAAACATTACGACGAAGAAATTCACTCTATGAAGAGAAAGAAAATTAAATGGTGATTGCAATCACTATCATTGATCGATCATTAATCATTTGTTTGCACGCTTGTTCATAAACAATTTAAGATAACGAAAAATACATTTCCAATTAGTACGAACCTCAGTAAAGATTACGTCTCCGGGCCAGGAATATAAAAATGTTTGTATTAATTTTAAGATAAGATAACTCATGAATGTTCCAATTTTATAGATATTTATTCCATTAACCTGTAAATCGTTTTATATTTGATATATAAAATTGAGAATCAATGAAAATCGATGAAATTTCAAATTACAATTTATTAAAACAAATTATTTTATACATTTCATGCAATTTTTCAAATGTATTCACTTTTTTAAAATAATTTATCTTATTTTTATATATAAATGTTATTTATTAGAATTAATCTTTTTGTAATTTTAAATAGTATTTCTAATAATATTGATTACATATAATATAAATGAGAAACATTATATATATATCATTATTCATAGTCTGATATAATATATTCATATTATATTATATTATATTATATAAATATATTATAAAGAATTGATTAATTTTAGTAAAAAATAATATAGCATAGCATAATTATATTTATTATATATTTAAACATAATTAGTCAGTATATTATTCATATAAATATGTACTTGTTGTAAAATAAACGTTTTTCAATCATTGCTATCAAAATTCTCACCTGAAATAGCTGAAATATTATAGAACACATGCTCATTGCATTCGTTATAGTCACTAATAAAATGATAGGTCCGTAAATCTCTTGAATAATATTTCGACATTTTAACAATAAAACATGTTTTTCGACACATTCTCGAAAAATTTGCTGATGATTCTTTTCTTTATTCCCTTTATTTTTATCATCAATTGAAGATCTCTTAAATTCAAAACTCAAAAAACGTAATATTATGGAAATACGAAACATACAAAACCCGAAAAATGCATCTACACTAACAGATATAAAAAATATGAACCAAAGAATATTTATATCGAAAATATAATGCAATTGCCAAATTAACATCGAATTGATTTTCCAAGGAAAAGTTCCAAGAAGAGGCAAAGGATATTGTATATTCGTTATATTTGCATCGTAAAACAATTTTATAATCATTGGTTTCATTGAATAAATGATACTAGTGATGAACATTAATACTGTCTGTACATAAATCAATCGATAAAACTTTTGAAGATAGAATAAAATTACTGATTTTATATATATTTCATTCAATATTTCTTTTAAAATGGAATTGAGTATATCATTTACTTGTTGTAATTTTTTTCGATGGATGAAAAAACAGGAAGCCTGAGAAAGGAACTTTATTATAAAATATCAAATAAAAATCGATTCGATTATTCACATTTATATTAGATCAAATTATATTACAATAAAAAATCAATTCTTTCAAAATAAATTTCAAAATAAATTTTTTTAAAATACTTGCTTACCTTTGTTATTACATTCAATATAGTGCCAAAGAGAATGAGTGAAGCAGTAAGCAAAGGAATATTCTCAATATTTTGCAGGCTGGAGTTTCCAACCGCACACAATTCTATAAAGCAAGAAAATATCGCCCAAATTGGTATGTATCGATAAATAATATTCAGTTCTCTTGTAATTGGACACATTCCACCAATGAAAAGAAAAAGTTTTACAAAACTAGCGTATTTCTTATATAATCGTAATTCTTTTGACATCGTTGAAATTGCAGAAGCAATTCGATTTGAATCAATGCATAAGCATCCATATACCAATTTTCTAAAAAGGGTCATATTTAAATAATGATCGATGAATATTTCGTTATTCTGCTCTATCATTACTACTTACCAATCGATCTCGATAACAATGGATAACTCAGTCCTTTAACTTGGTAAATTATTTGAAATTGATCAGCAATTTTAAATATTTTATTCAACAGATTATATGTGCATGTCTTGTTTAGGTAGATTAAATAAAATTAATTGATTTTAAATTTGCAAAGATTTTAAAAACTATACCTTCTTATAAATATTAATTAAATAATAATAATTCTAATGAAAGATCTAGTTATTGAAACAAATAATAATAACAAAATATTATCAATTATAGAGTATATACATAAATAAATGCATAAATTACACAATGGATATAATGCAATAGCAAAGATTTTGAGCGCCTAAAAAAATAGTACACATAAAATCAACCATTATCATGAAAATGTTTAAGAAACAAAAAAATTAAATTACATGCTAACTAGTTAAAAATAAAAAAAATATATAATAAATTGAATATCACATATATACATTCGATAAAGAAAAAAATTACCTGATTAATCCTTGTCTAATTGACGATATTAGTTATAAAATATATATATTTTTATTTTTTCCTTTTCTATTAGTGTCTACAAGTTATTAGTATAACAAAAAATATAAAATAAATTTTTTTATTTAAAATTTAATTTTCAAAATTTAATTTGAAACTTCAACAAATTATATAATTTGATTACGTTTAATTTTAATTTTTTTCAAAAATAAGAAATTAAATGATAAAATTTTATTCTAAATTTTTTTTTATTTTCATATTTAAAATAAATTTACTTACAATCCATTAGTATGATATAATCCATTGCTTGAAAATTTTTCAAACTTTTTTCAAAAAAGAAGTTTCAAAAAAAAAGTTTGAAAAAATTTTATTTCATATTTTTAATTATGAATATAATATAATTAATAATTATTTTTTTATATAGAATAACTTCTTATTAATTGTATTGTTAGTTACAGAATATGCTATATATTATTAACAATTGTAATAAAAGATATTTGAAAGCAAAATTTAATGTTAATGATTGTACTATCATATTTCCATTATTATTTACACAGAATGTATAAAAATTCAAATATATATCAACACATATATATATATATATATATATATAACATACATAAGTAATAAATATATCTAAATTTGTATATATAAATAATAAATAACTTTATTTTATTTGATTTAATATAGAAAGTATAAACATTACTCTATTTAATAATAACAAAACTTGTATTAAATCAGGGATAAGAAAAATAAATTTTAATACTATTAATTATTTTAACAATTATTTAATTAATTATTTTTACAAAGTTAAAATTTTTATATTTAAAATTTTATAAGAATATATAATATATAAAATTAATTTTCTTATATAAAATTAATTGTTTTTTGTATTTAATTCAAATAATAATATAAAAACTATAATCTTGAAGAAATATTGAATTTTCTTCTTGAATAAAATCTTTATCATCATTGATCATCATCATTGATATATTAATAGTCATATATCAATTATAAAAACTATATATTTTATGATTAGAATATTAATAATCTTAATTAATTATTATTAATTCATTCAATTTCGTTATGTTTATTTATTTTTAAATTATTTAATGTTTTAATTCATACTTTTATATTTTGTAAATAAATTATATAATACTCGTAGAGTTGATTTGAGATCTAAATTTACAATATCTGTAAATAAAATACAATATTTGTAAATATAATCATCATAATCATATAAATATATATGTAAATATATCATATTTCCTATTTCTTATAATTATAATATTAAGATTACAAATGATATTAACCTTCTGGACGAGCCTTAGGTTTTGGTAGGCCAATATCTTGCATAATGTCAAATGCAAATGAAACATTATGTACTTTCTGATCATGAGTTTTAGGCGTTAAATGAAAACTACCTAAAGGTACAAAAAAGCCTTCAAGTAGTCCAAGTAGAAGTGTTAAAAAAACACCATCATGAAATTGTGTATCCAAATCTGTCACTTCCAAATGAACTTTACTTAAATGTTTATTGACAAAAGAAACTAACGACTGTAAAATAACATTTATATATAGTATTTACATATTTTCTATAATTTAAATGTATTGTATAACATACTTTTTTAACCACAGCTAATTTATCAGCTGGATGATCAAAAAGACTATCAAAAGCATCTCGTTCACAACGCATTCCCAAATCATCATAAGTTGATGTAATTTCTTCTCTAATTGTATTGTGTATTAATTGACCATCTTTTTTGCGCACAATTACAACTTGAACAGCTACTCTTTCTGGCAATCTAACTGGTGCTCGAAATTGTCTTGCTAAACCAACCAATAAATGTAAAATGGCAACAATATTTTTTGAATGAACAGATTCTACATGCCATTTATAAGGAGGATAACGACCTAATACTCGATTAGCAGTAGACAAAACAACTGCTAATTTCTGTTTCTGACCTTCTTCAGATTGAGTTACTTCAGGTACATCTAATTTTTCTCCTGTTAATTTTTCTGGAATTAATGAAAAAATATGTTTATTTAAATTATTACAAAAAATTTTTTTATTTTGCTAACATACCTAATAATTTTTGTAGTACCTGTCCATCATATAAGTCTTCAGCAATATCTTTTACAATAATTCGTTGATCAGCTAATTCATCATTAATCCATTCAATTAAAACAAATATTAGTTCTTTGAGCTTAGAATCTTCTAAAGATCTAGGTTCTATCATTGAACGTTCTTCATTTTCATCTAAAGCATATTCTTCTGGTGGCATTTCAGGATTAGCTGCAAATCCTGGTGAGTCAATTGCATATTTTCCTTCTTCTTGTACTTCTTGAACTTAGCAAACGAATTAAAAAAAAGAAGCATTAAAAATGAAATATTAATTATGAAGAATATTGTGAAAAATAATAACATTATAAATAAAATAATAAATAAAATAAAAATATTTTATAAAAAAAATAAATTGAATTTAAATTGATATATTTTATATAATTATTATCAATAATTATTTTGTAAAAATTGAAATAACAAATAACTCATACCATATAAGGAAACATATTATACATATTAAAAAAAAATATATTAATATAACATAAACATAATGCAATACCTTCTTTAATACGTTTTTTTCGGCCCAAAGTACCAATTTTATCCCAAAAACTTTCTTCTTTTTCATCCTTTCTCGCAGATATTGGAGGTCGCGGAGATTTTGGACGAGGAGACGACATTATTTACGCAATGTTCATAAATACAGACGATGTCACCTCTTGAAATACAACTTCCAACCACGTTTTCAATAATCGACACA